TTTTCTAATTTACACACCAAGTGTTCCTTTCCTGTGGTAAAAAACCCTTCTGGTTGGTCCATATATACTTCTTCCTCTAAATCACCATTTAGAAAGGCAGTTTTAACATCCATTTGGTGAAGCTCTAAATTGTAATGAGCCACCAATGCCAAGACAATCCTTAACGAGTCCTTCTTAGAAATTGGGGAAAAGGTCTCGTTATAGTCGATGCCACTTTTCTGAGTATAACCCTTGGTAACAAGTCTAGCTTTATACCTTTCGATATTACCGTTAGAGTCGCGTTTGGTCTTAAAGACCCATTTGCACCCGACTCTTCTTGAATTTTCAGGTAATTCTACAAGGTTCCAAACTTTGTTGACTTTCATAGATTTCAACTCATCTTTCATGGCATCTAACCATCTTTCAGAACTGTCACTTTCAATGGCTTGTTTGAAAGAAACTGGATCCTTATCAATGCTCAAATCATTTTCTTGTTCAGCAAAATATATCACGTAGTCATTAGAAATGGCAGGCCTCCTTTCCCTTGTAGAGCGCCTTAATGCCATTTCTTCCCGTGGTTCATTGATTTCTTGCTGAATTGTGATTGATTCATTTTCATTGGTCACAATACCCTCATGTGGGTTTAGGGCATTCTCATGTTGTTCCGGTGCACTAGAGGATGGCAACGTGATAACCGGAACTACATCTTGAAAGAAATTTTCATGTGAAGAGGTTTCAACATGAATTTCTCGAATGTCCACCTTACGTAGTTCTGTGCTCCCACTATTTTGACCATTTTCAATGAATCGAGCATTCCCAGTCTCTACAATCCTCATACTATGGTTAGGACAATAAAACCTGTACCCTTTAGACCTTTATGGATAGCCCATGAAAAAACCACTGACTGTCCTTGGGTCAAGTTTATTCTCATGTGGATTATACAACCTTACTTCTGCTTGATAACCCCATACATGGAGATGCCTTAAACTCGGTTTCCTTCCTGTCTATAGTTCATAAGGTGTCTTATGAACTGCTTTACTTGGAACCCGATTTAATAAATATGTAGCGGTCCTTAACGCATACATCCACAATGAAGAAGGTAAGGTATAATTACTTACCATACTCCTAACCATATCCATGAGGGTTCGATTCCGCCTTTCAGCCACGCCATTCTGTTGTGGTGTTCCAGGCATTGTATACTGTGCACAAATGCCCCTGCTTTCGAGGAATTTAGCAAAAGGACCTGGACATTGTCCTTTTTCGTCAGACTTACCATAATATTCACCCCCCCCCCCCTCCGGTCTGACCTCACAATTTTGACTTTTCTATCTAACTGCCTTTCAAGCTCATTAATGAACACCTCTAAAGTGCCCACAGACTGAGATTTATCATGCAGTAGATATATATGACATATCGTGAGTAGTCATCTGTAAAGGTGATGAAGTACCTTTCGCCGCCCCAAGAAGGAACATCGAAAGGTCCACAAATGTCGGTGTGAATTATTTCAAGCAGCTCACTACTTCTTGTAGCAGGTTTCTTGGTTATGTGTTTGGTTTGTTTTCCTTTAATACAATCCACACACACATCCCAATCACTAAAATCCAAGGAAGGAAGGATTTCATTTTTCTCCAACCTTACTAACCTTTCCTTGGATATGTGTCCCAAACGTTTATGCCACAAGTAAGCAGAATTTTCCGTTAATGCACTACGTTTAACTCCTATACTACTCTCAACATGAAATAAGGATTCAGCAAAATTTACATCAAGATTAAAACGATAAAGAGAATCAATTAAAGTACCAAAACCATAATATTTATTGTCCTTACATAAATGAAAAATACGATTCTCAAATTTGATGTAAAATCCCAACATATCCAACTTACTAATTGAAACAAGATTTCTAGTACAGTCAGGGACATAGAGACAATTTGCTAGATCCAAATGATATCCAGTATCTAGGATCAATCTATACGTCCATATTCCCTCTATCCGTGCCTTCATCCTGTTTCCCATAAATAAGAATTCATCAGTTTTTCTTGTGAGTTGGATCGAACTGAATCCCCTTCTTTTCAAACCAAGCTTTTCTTTTCGGGCAATCTTTCATCAAATGCCCCATTTTGTTACAAAAGAAGCACTTGACTCTTTTCTGGGCTTGACCCGACTGAGTGTTATGTTGGGTCTTGCCCTTTTTACCTGGTTTTCTTTTATTGGTGCTTGAATTTCCTTGAGATGTGAAGTGGATGGAGTGATCTCTTAACTTCTTTAATCTCGTTTCCTCTTGAGCTAGCAAATGTTTGGTTTCTTTAAAATTCCATTTTTCTTTAAGAGTATTTTAGTTCACATGGAACTGTCCAAACTCTGCTAGTGGAAGTGAGTCAATGACTAGATGAACTAGCCATGATTCAAGCAACTCCATCCCCATCCCCTTTAATTTTGCTGCAATATTGGCCATTTGATCGCAGTGATCATGGATTGGCATAGACCAATCAAACTTCTTAGAAGTTAGTTCTGTCATCAGGTTCCCTGCAATTGACTTATCTGCAATTTCAGACATAGATAACTCTTTCACTGTTTCTAAAAATTCAGATGCAATGTCCACTTTTGGCATCATCGGCTTCATATTTTCTGCCATGGTAATCTTCATGAGGTTTAAACACATTTTATTGGACCTCATCCATTCTTCATGATATTCCTTCTCTTCTTGCGAGCTTTTGTCTGTGAGGGCTGCAAGTTCCTTTGTGTTTAAGGAAAGGTCTAGTCTAGTTAAGCCCAAGTAGAATTGGACTTGTTCAGACCAGTCTTGATAATTGAGGCCATTGAACCTCACAACAGCATTCATTGAAGCCGAGAATTGAGCAAAAGTTGAAATTTCATATTTACACTTTAATGCTTTTATGCTAAGCGTATAACCAATTCAGACTTTACATAACTTTTAATAGATGCCAACAATACATAAAACAATAATAATGATAATCAAGTACTAGTCAAATAACCAAGTCATCTTTGGATAAACAAAGCGATTTGACAAAGCACTAAAATCATATTCTTTAAGTATTATAAATTATTTGTAGTGATTCACCTTTGGGCAATCTCATAGCAATATAATTTATAATTATTGTAATTATCATCTAAGGCATCTCAATGATTTGGGCAATATAAATTCTATTTTTAATCATCATCTATCTCCATCTAGCTAGATCACTTTGGTGATTAACAAGCTAAAAAAAATAGACATCCTTAATGAGTGAAATAGAATTTTATTGCCATACACAACATTTATTTAGTCCAAATATTATATAACATGGTCACTTTGGTGACTCTCAGAATCCTTAATAGACTAAAAACAATTTAAGTAGGAAAAATTTAATTTATTTTAATCTAATTGTTCCTTAGCCAGGCCACTTTGGTGACTAACAAGCTCCTCACAACAATAGACAAAATAACAACAAAAGATAATAAGAGAACCATAAAAATCCACGAATCACCAAACCAATAATTTATTTTAATCTAATTGTTCCTTAGCCAGGCCACTTTGGTGACTAACAAGCTCCTCACAACAATAGACAAAATAACAACAAAGGATAATAATAACAATAATAATTTGAGAGCCATACAAATCCACGAATCACCAAACCATAATAATTCATGAATCCAACAAATCTTTTCTTCTCAAACTATCACCCATAATATATTATTATTATTATTATTATTATTATTATTATTATTATTATTATTATATAATTTTGTTTTTTTAAATGGCCTAGTGCTCTAGCCAATTTGGCTAGAGCCCTTCACGGCCCAAAAGCTAAATGTAAGGGAACTCTCCAGCCTTGCACTGGAGAAGCAACAGCGTTTCGCTGCTTTCTTTCTCCAGCCGCAAGGCTGGAGAAAAAGTGGCTACTGACGGCACCGACCGTCTAGTCGACGACGGAATAATTCAGACACTGTTAATCTTTAATTGTCAAAATCATCTTTAATCTGTCGAATCAATTCAAAACTTATATATATATATATATATATATATATATATATATATATATATATACATACGACCATAATATGTATATATATAATAACAACACAAAATTAACGCATATATACATATACACAAATTGAAATTAACGTATATATATACACAAATTTCAAAACAAAATTGGTAAATCATTATACCTAACCTTGCTCTTGATACCAAATGTAAAACTATAACAATAGGCATGGAATGATTTAACCAATACTTTAATCGGAAGCGTTAAAGTACTAACCTGATTCCATGAGAGAATGATGAAGCTTTCAACCCTTTCTTCTTCACAACTTCTTTATGCAAGTTTGTAGAGCGTTTTTCAGAATACTTTTCCCTTTGGTCTTTCACGTTAGTTTTCACAGTGATAGGATAGGAAAATGCTTATGCCCTTTTATATTGCTTTCTTTACATAACTCACATTCCAATATTGATCATTGGAATTTTGGCAATAATGGCCATAAACCAAATATTAAGTAGGCTTAAGTAGCCCTATTGAAAGCCAAAGAGAGGGGAGTAATAACCCCTTGATCCGTTACATATTTTATTCTCATTACCTATCACAACGGGATTTTAATTGTCCAGACCACTTTAATACATGGACCACAATAACATTAGAATAAATATTCTAACATTGATTAATTATTTCTTTATTCTGTCTAGGTGGTTTTTTTTTTTTTTGTTTAACATGATTCTATTGTTAGTAGCTTTATGAAGTAGAGAATTTACTGAGAAAGTTTTATCTTTGTTAAGAAATAGTAATACATTTTTTATATAATATTTACTTTTCAATATTGATACAGAAATACAAGAAGTCTTTCAAAGCATCACAGGCAAAAAAAAAAAAATTAAAATAAAAAAATAAAAAGTAGAGAATTGTTCCCTTGAAGTAAAGCATGACAAATCAAAATCAATGAAGTGAAGTACCAATTGGAGCAATTTTAAGGTAAATAAGATTTTTGCAGCACATAGTATTTTGTGATTATGCATGTACGAAGCTAACATCAACTTCTTTTTTTGGGTACAACTTTGACAAGCTAAACTATCCCAACATATTTTTTGGATTAACTTGTCCATTGGGATTTATGTTTTGTATATTAGTATGATGTTAGCTAACAGCTCTTAACTCCAATTTAGAGGAGGATATTAGTTAGCAACCCCATAATATTAGTGGTTTTTTTGTTGTTTTTGGGCGATGGAGCCTATTTGTATTAAACTAATTATATCTATGATGAATTGAATTTACTATTTGATATTGGGTGATACTTATTTTGTATATATGCACAAGATTTGTGACAGGAAAATTATAAATTATACTAGTTTGAGTGATGTGATTTACGACAAACATTGCGACGAACACTACGACGTAAAATATAATTATTATAATAATTATAATATTAACTACGACACAATTGACATATAATTGCGACAAACAAAATTATATTTAAAAAATTTGCATCATATTACAATGACAAACATATAACAACAATTGCGACATACGATTTGACGAATGACATTTAAAATTAATAAAATTGTGACATACATTTCGACAAAAATTTGGAAACAACGACGAATATGAGCAAGTATTTGCAACGATTGTAAAATCAATTGCGGCAAAAAATTGATACAAACGACAGACTAATAAGCATAATTGCGACGAACAAATTTATTATTTGCGACACCTCGCGACAAACTAATGCGACTGATTTCGGTTACAAATTACGACAAAATTAAATATATCGCGACAGAAATATGGTCGTCGGTGTTAATAATTAATTACGACAAACAGTCACGAATTAGCAATTGCAATTCAACTTGATGCAACGATCACGTTTTGTCGCAAAGTATGTCGCAATTTCTCTTTTGCGTCGAAATTGTGACTAATTGCGACGGAACTTGTCCGTCACTATAGCCATGTTTTTTAGTAGTGTTAACATGCATGAATTTTGTGCTTAACGTGCGTGGATTTGTGCTTAATTTGAGTAGTTGTTGAAAACTTAAAAGGTGCCTGAGTTTTGTGCTTAAGGTGCGTGCGGCTTGTGCTTAACATGCGTGACGCTTATGCTTAATATGCGTGAGTTTTGTGCTTAACGTGCGTGGGTTTGTGTTCTGAAGGTGTTTTATTTGTGTGCCTAATGTGCGTGTATTGTGTACTTAAAGTGCGTTAGTTAATGCGTCCAACCGCACGGGAAGCCCCTCTCACACCTGATCCCTTCCCTATATTTATATATATATATAAATATATATATATATATATATATATATATATATATATATATATTAACTGCTGACATAAATTTTTAGATCGTGGTCCACAATGTAATGTAGACATTGGTCCATGGTATAACAATTGACAAATTTTAGTGTGGACCATAGTCCATGTAGTAATGTGGTACATGAAGTATCATTCTAATTACACTTCAATTTTGTTTGACAATATTGCTCTGTTTTTCAGTTTTATTTTTCACACTCACTAGTTTCATTATAGCAATACTAAAGAATCATTTTAATTCTACTACAGTTTCATTTGATAATATACATTATTGTATGAACTCTATTTTGTTGTTTCATTTTCCACACACACTAGTTTAATTATAATAATGCTAAAGTATTGTTTTAGTTACACTCCTCATTCATTTTGACAATAGATGTTATTATATGGTTCTAAATTTTAGTTTCATTTTTCACACAGACTAGTTTCATTTTAACAACATTAAAATATCATTTTAATTATACTACAGTTTCATTTGACAATACGTTTCTATTTTTTAGTTTCATTTTTCACACACACTAATTTCATTTTAGCAACACTAAAGTATCATTTTAATTCTACTACAGTTTCATTTGACAACCATGGTCCACATAACACTATGGACCATGGTCCACTGTATAACAATCGATAACAATTATCAAATCAATGATGTCTTCGGCAGGGCGACCCTATATCTCCCTATCTGTTCATTCTTTGCGCTGAGGGTCTATCTGTGTTGTTGCAACTGGCTGAGAGGCAGGGTGACATTCATGGTATTCGTATTGCTCGGGGAGCTCCGGCGGTGACACATTTGTTCTTCACTGACGATAGTCTCCTATTCTTCAGGGCCACGAGTACGGAAGCTCAGAAAATCAGGGACTGCCTCGATACCTACAGTGCTGCATCAGGCCAGGTAATCAATTATGAAAAATCAAGTATTATTTTCAGTGTCAATACCACTCCGGAAGCCCGTTCTAGTGTGACGGGGTATGTGGAAGTACGGGAGTGCAATGATTTGGGGCGATACCTAGGCCTACCTTCGGTATTGGGCCGTAACAAGTCAGCTACGTTTTGCTATATTGAACAGAGAATTCGGGAGCGGATTGGAGGTTGGCAACAAAGGTTGCTGTCGCGGGCAGGCAAAGAGGTTCTTTTGAAGAGCATTGCCCAAGCTTTACCCATATTCACAATGTCAGTGTTCTACCTACCTCAACGGACTTGTGACACCTTGGAACGTTTATTCAACCGCTATTGGTGGGGTGGGGGAGGCGGGTCAAGCAGTAGGGGTATCCATTGGCTTAGCTGGCCCCGTCTTTGTTTACCAAAGGCGAAGGGCGGCCTTGGCTTCAAGCGACTGCACGAATTCAATCTAGCTCTACTCGCAAAACAGGGGTGGCGTATCTTGATTTACCCAGACTCACTGGTAAATCGCCTCTTACGTGCGAAATACTACCCCAACGACTCATTCTTGAATGCACAAATGGGCCACAATCCGAGTTATCTGTGGAGGAGTATAATGGCGGGGCAAGCCGTACTCAAGAAAGGTGCAGCACGCCGCATTGGCAACGGTGAGGGCTCGAAGATTTGGGAATGGCCGTGGCTTGCCGATACGGTTCAACCCCATCTAACTACGCCATGCATCAATCATTTGAAGGATGCGACGGTAGCGAGTCTGCTTACGTCTCACGGCACATGGGACGCAGCTATCCTCCATGATCTATTTTGTGCTGAAGATGTGTCCCGGATTCTAGCCACGCCCCTATCTCCCATGCTACCGGATTCTTGGCGATGGCTTGGTGACACCAGGGGCATGTACACAGCACGGCACGGCTACAAGCTGCTGACGGATAACGGTGCTTTAGATGACTGGGGCGGCAGATTCACGGCGTGGGATCGGTTGTGGAAGCTGCCCATACCTCCGAAAGTGAAGAACCTTTTATGGCGTTGCGTTAGGGGCATCATTCCAGTGAAGGAAATCCTAAAGCAGAGACATGTGTGGATTGGCGGGGGATGTGCGCATTGCGACTGCCAGATTGAAACGGTGGAGCATGTTTTCTGCGAGTGCGTGATAGCAAAGCGCCTTTGGGAGAACGTTGATGTCCTACGGGGAGGTTCGGTATTGGAGTTTCTGGAAGCACTTATCAAGAGCGCACCAACACATCAGATCATCCGTGGGCAGCCGTTTTCTGGGTTTTGTGGAAGGCCAGGAACGATAAGGTCTGGCGGGACACTTCTATACCATCCGAGTTGTTGTTAATCCAGGTACATTCTCTACAGGCTTTATGGTCTTCTATTAAGCAGCCTTCTGGGGAGACATCAACATCTACCGCGCCTAATACTCTCTGGACTCCACCGCCGGCTAACTGGCTGAAGTGTAATATGGATGCAGTTCTTTTCACTGCTGGAGCAGGCTTTGGAGCCGTGGTTCGTAATCATGATGGCCGCTTCGTGGCGGCCAAAGGAAGCAGGCTGGGTCGTATCCAAGACCCTTTACTAGCAGAGGCTTCAGCGATTGCACAAGCGTTGGAGTGGTTACGAAGCATAGGGTTTAACAATATCATTTTAGAAACTGATTGTTTATTGTTTTCTTCAGCTTTCAATTCTAGACATTCTGATTTTTCGTATGTTGGTTCAATTGTAAAGCAATGTTCTCAAATTGCTAGTGACATTGGGACCGTTTAGGTTCGCCATGTGAGGAGGTCAGCGAATCATGTAGCTCACGTTCTTGCGCGGGCGACGGATTCTTCGTCTGCCCTAGGATTGTGGTTAGTTAACCCGCCTCCGTGTATTGCTGCTCTTATGAGCTATTAATGAATTTGTTTCCTTGGTTTTCAAAAAAAATAAAAAATCAAATCAATGATGTGAAGTGGGTCTAACACTGTCAAATTATGCTGTGGAACCGTGTCCACCTAGCTAGTAAGGTGGACACGGTTCTAAAACGGCGTCGTTTTAGTGAAAAATGACGTCATGTCAATTTAAAAAAGAAAAATTAATTTCTTTTGCCGTTAACAACATTTGTCTTCAGAAGTTTGTGTTCATAATTACTGAACTCTATGTTCATAATTATAGAACTCTATGTTCATAATTTTTGAACTCCATATTCACAATTATTGAATTCTATATTCACAATTACAGAACTCTATGTTCATAATTTTTGAACTCTTAGAAGACTATGTTCATAATTACTGAACTCTATGTTCATAATTATAGAACTCTATGTTCATAATTTTTGAACTCCATATTCACAATTATTGAACTCTACATTCACAATTACAGAACTCTATGTTTATAATTACATTCACATTCACAATACGTACGTGTGTGTGTGTATATATATATATATATATATATATATATATATATATATATATATTCAAAAATATCATCAAGGCTTAGTGCTATTCACAAAAGAATTTTATCAAAAGTATCAACCAATTAAAATGTTTGAAGTATACAATTCTATTCATTTTCCTGCTCATTTTCTGAAAAATGAACAAAACACACAAAGATAAATTTTCGTTGTGCAACCAAACACCAGAAAGGTTTTTCAAAAGTCATTTTCCGAGTTTCCAAACGGACCCTAAGAATGTGTTTGGTTCACACAAGAGAATCCGAATCGGAATATGAATCAAGTACTTGAATTGGTAATGATAATGAGGTTTGGCGAAAGTATTTTGCATGTTTGGTAATAGATTAAAATTGAAATGATTACTATTGATGTTTGGTTATGTATGACCCTATAATGAGAATACATGTTTTAAGAATATAAAAATAAAAAATTAAGGCAATTGATCATAATATAATGACATCTAAAGTTCTAATATAAACAAAAAATTAAAAAAAAAAATACAATTAGAAACATAAAGATGGAATTA